AGAGGGAGAATATTTTTTTTTGATATAGGAGGTAGAGAGAGAGAGAGAGAGAGAGAGAGAGAGAGAGAGAGAGAGAGAGAAGAAGAAGAAACCAAATGAAATTAGATTGAAAAACCCCGAAAAAACAAACAAACAGACAGAAAAATGTTAATTTCAGATTCTTTTTGTGCAGAAATATTTGGTACGTTTTGTTTCCAATGATGATCATGTTAATAATATCCGGATCAGTCGAATGATGTGTGTGTTATGGAAGAAGAAGAATATTTGGTTTTTTGCAAAACAACAGAATATTTTAAAGTCAGAATTCGTTTGTTGTTCTTGTTAAAATAGATTTTATGGATGTTTTTCTTATCTATCTGGTAGAATATGATTAGAATTTAAAGAAAAATAATAATAAACCGAGACGAGACGAAACAAAATGAAAATTCTGGATTCTGAAAAATAAAAATAAAAAAAAACTGGAAAAAAACGAAAATAAAGGAAAAATCCATAAGGATAGTGTTTTCCAAAAAAAAATCATTATTGATTTCTCACGAATATACATCATCATTAGTTGTTGTTGTTGTTGTCGGATTATGATAAGAATTTCAAAAAAAAACAACAACAACAACAAAATTTACAAATAAATCATTTTCGAATAAGTCAATTCAATGGAAATTATTATTATTATTTATATTTACAATAATAGAATCAATCGTGATCTGTAATCAAAGATTACTAAACAGAATCTCGAACATATGTTTACTAATATTATATTTGCTTGTTTTCCATATCTGTTTATTGCATTCACATTACATGTGATGTTTGTTTGTTTGTTTGGTTTGGTTTGGTTTGGTTCAAGATATGATCAAGATTCGATGTGAATAGAATTTCGATATTCCTGAAAACATTATTCATTCATTTGTGGTCATCTGAATTATTCTGTATTTTCGTAGAATTTTCGTTATTCAAGCCTGAAGCTCAAGAGAATCAAAAGAAGCTCGAAAAAAAGCTTGAAAAGCGTAGTTTTTTTTTCTGGTTATCAAACATTTAAACCGAATGAATCATTCAATGACTGGTTTTTCAAGAATTTCTTTATCTTTTTCTTCGATATAATACTTTTGTTGTTGTTGTTTTCTGTTGTTGTTGTTGTCATTTATCATTCATCATCTTATAATTTATTGACAGTCATTTTGTTTTTCCATTCTCTTATACTATGGAAAGAATATATATATGCGTAGGTAGATTCACCTGCAAAAAAAAAACAAAAACGAAATAATACATTTTTTTCATTCAGGTGTTTTCATCATTTTCATTCATTCATTTATCATTCAAGCGGGTATGTAACAAACAAACAAACAAAAAATAAAACCGGAACAATGATGATGTGAAGTGAAACGATAACAACAACAACAACAACAAGGATTAACCGATAAGTATTTACAATAGAAACAAAAAAGAAAAAGAAAAAGAAAACTAATATCGCATAAATCGATATTATTGAGATCTTCAAGTTTGATGATGATAATAATGTTGTTGATGATGATGAGAACAAAACATACAAAAACAAAAAACGAAAAAAAAAACGATAATATTTCATTTTGGACAACAACAGAGAGAGAGAGAGAAACCGAAATGAAAGAATTGAAGAATTGAAGAATAGAATCGTAAACATATAGAGAGATTCCATAGAGAGAGAGAGAGAGAGAGAGATTAAGGTATCGGGTATTAGCAACAAGCAAAAGGAAAGATGGATATTTTTTTATTTTTTTTTTGATGATGATAAATATTTTCAGGGGAAAAAATGGGTGGGCGGTTGGTTGGAAAGGGGGGGATGAACATTATTTTTATATGATTATAATAATGATAAAATATGAATGAATTATATTGTCATTTACAATGATGATGATGATGATGAAAGAAAAATATTATTATGAAAATTGAAAATTGAAAAAAATGTTATTACGAAAGTCTCTCTGTCTGTGTGTGTGTGTGTGTGATGTGCAAACAAATCAATGGGAAAAAAATGTTATTGTGTTTTTTTTTGGTGGGGGAAGAGGGAAAAAAAGCAAACAGAATATATTTTTTCTTTTTTTTATGGATGACAAAGCAAGGAATATTACACCTGCCTCTCTATATACACCTGTGTAATTTTTTTTTTCATAAGAATATTCTATAATTTAATGAAATTCTACATTACTATTATAATCGAATGATAATGAATTTGGATGATAGAAAATTTTTATTTGTAACAAATTTGTAAAATAAAACTAATCCCGATGGATTCACAATGGATAATTTTGTTTGTATTTTTTTTTTGCAAGAGGGGGGAAATGTTCCCAGAAGTTTTTCTTTTTCACGGAAACTTTTCTCTTTGTGAAAAGTAAAATTGTAAAAGAAATTGAATAAAACACAAAAGTAACATTTATATATCTTTATTTTCAATAAAATTTTTATAAATTTTTAAATTTTTTTAAATTTATAAATTAAAAATTATGTAACAATCAAAAAATATTGTATGTGATGATGATGATTGATGTTTGCTGATATGTCAATAATCTTTTTGTCATCATTGAATTCAGGTAAAGAAAAAGCAAAAAAATAGAGAATTTTCCATTGAAATTTACATACATTTTTCCCCCGTTTCATCGTTATTATTACCGTTACCGTTACCGTTACTCATATCGGTTATTTCAATGCGTGGAACGCAAATAAAATTCGCTTGTTGTTGATCACAGGATCGATTTGCGTTGTTGTTTGCGTTGGCTGAACCAAAATTCAATGATTTTTTTCTCGTTGGATATGTTGAACGAAATTTTTCCATTAAACCAATTTTTACGAAATTCTTTCGTTCATTCAATTCAAATTGTAAATTTTTTTCAACATTATCGTCATCATCATCATCATCTTCGTCTTCATCATCATCGAATTCACTACCATCATCATCAACAAAATCAACAATATCTTCTTCTTCAACACTTTCAAAATAACGTCGATATTTTTTTGATTTACGTTTAGTAGGTTTTTTTCCCATCATTATTAACGATGATGAGGATTGTTGTTGTTGTTGTAAATTACTATTATCCAAATTAATTTTTACATTACAACCACCATTTGTTAATAATTTTTCATTATTCGGATTCACACCGGTTGATAACGTTGCTGCTGTTGTTGGGGGTGGTGGTGGCGGCGACGGGGTTGATATCATACCGGATATATTCAATGGATAACTACCGGCTATTAATGCACTTGTTGTTGTTGTTGTTGTTGTTGATGATTCAGTAAATAAAATTCCAGCCAATTTATTACGTTTATTTAAATATTTTTCTCTTTCTTTTTTTCTTTGTTTTTTACTAACACCACCACCACTACTACTACTACCGTTATTTCCGTTACCACTACCATCATTTTGTTGTTTTTCCGATTGTTGTTGTTGTTGTTGTTCAGTTTGTTGTTGTCGATTTTGTTGTTGTTGTTGATCAATTTGTTGATCGTTTTGTTGTTGTTGTTGTTTATAACAATTTAATAATTGTAAAAAATTATGTTGAAATTTTATCAAATCAAACATTATTTTACGTAATAATTCGATTGCATTTTGACGAAAACTTTCATTTAGCCAACAATAAATAAATGAATTATAACTATAGATTTTTGTAAAAATGAAGAAAACGAAATAAATTAGACAGATTTTTAAACCTGAAAATTTTTTATAAATTCTATAAATAACGATAATTAAGCGAAATAGGCAAGAGGGAGAGAATATTCTTTAGTTTCTAGAGTTTGTTTTGTTTCTCGTTCGATTCTTTTAGTCGAAATTCTTGGTAGTAGTCGTCAACAACGACGACGACAAAGATTACCAAAAACAAATTTTAATTCAAACTAATTGGATGGCCAGGGACATTTTATTCTTCGTTCATAGATTTTTCTTGTTGTTTTGTTTTTGTTATTGCTGTTGTTGAAAACTTTAGAAAATGAATTGGGGTGAAAAACTACCCGAAAACTACAAAAAACTGGTGAAAAACTAAAAGAAATTAATAAATTTGGTAAACAAAACAAAAAACAAACAATTCATTGGCAAGGAGGGGTAATGGTCTTTTCGCTAAAAGAATTTCTCTTTAAAATTCTTAACGACGACGACGACAACAACACAGAGGAAAAATATTCTGGTAGTCATTGTGTATTTATTATCATTCAGGATAATGAATGAAGCGAGCGAGCAAAAACATCGTTATTTAAAGGAAATTCTTTTGTTTTGTTTGTTGTTTTTTTCATTGAAAAAAATAAACTTACCAAACTGAGCTCATAGCAAACCAATGACACTATTAGTTGATGATGATGATAGTTTTTCATTATTTTTATTATTATTATGAGTTGACAATTATTATTATACGCAAATAAAAAAAACGGTTATAGAATAATGATGATGATGATGATGAAGTCCAATTGGGCCAAGAATCAACAACGAAAAGAATAATGATGAAATATAGTTACAGAATCAAGAATTTCATAAGTTGGAATAAATTGGAGAGAGGGAGAGAGAGAGAGGGAAGAAAGAAAAATATTTAAGAAGAAATAAAATAAAATTAGTAAAAAACAGAAACTTTAAAAGATAAAAAAAAACGGAAGAAACTTTTTCGAAAATTTTGTTTCTGGGAAAATTTCTTCGGTTTTCCCCTTTCAATATTGTTGTCGATTGATCGACCAACTGGAAAAAAAACAATTATCCTGTAGTTTAAAAAAAATAATAATAATTTTGTCACTTGCTTAAGTGAATATCAGAGGAAGAAGAAAAAGAAGAAGAAAACACGAAGAGAGATAACCGTAAATGAACTGGAAATGAAAATTGAATTTTGAATGAACCAAATATCGATCCGATCAAAACATCCGAAAACATACGAAATGTTTGATTGTAAATACACATAGGGAAAATGTATGTGTCAACATTGTATAATTTTTTTTCAAATGGTCAATCATCAAGAGAGAGAGAGAGAGAGAGAACAAAAATCAACCATCAATTGATCGATACGAATTCAAATAAATGTAACATAACATTACTGCCAAAACATTAATGAAAACATTATCACATTTTGTGGATGTTTGATAATGATTTAACATTCGTAGATTGAAAACATTTCTCTCTCTCTCTCTCTCTCTCTCTCTCTCTCTCTCTCTCTCGCTTTATTTCCATTTGTAATCAATTTCAACTGAAGTAAATTGAAATTCAACGTCATTTCATCAGTTGTGAATGAAGCAAAAACTGACTTTTTTCTTTTCATCAGTTGTGGTTGATGTTTGTTTGTTTGTTTGAAATATACATTCATAAGAATGATAATGAAGAAATTCTTCATTTGAATTCTCCTTTTTCCTTTTTCGTTTTTGTCACTTAATTTATCATGACAACAACTTTGATCAGATAGAATTTTCATTTTGACAACAGCAGAAAAATTAAAAATTTGGGTAACGAAAGAAGAATTTCGTTCATCTTGTCATTGTTGAAATGTTAACCCTTTGGCACCCTGAATTGAAAATTTTCCAAAAAAAAAAATATTAAGGGACTAACGAAGTGTTAAAAAAAATATGAACAAAACGAGTATCATTAAATGAAGAAGAAAATGAATATTCATAATGGAGAAAACAAACAAACAAAACATTGAATATATCACATGATACCCCTAAAAAGAATGAAACGAAAAAGAAATTCGATCAATAATCGATCTAATCAATAATCGATAAACGATTCATTTCNGGATTCGGGTAATATTTTCGGGTAAATATTTACACACACACATTTATTGATAAGAGAATTGGTCGATGAAAATTAGTTTTTTCAGTTTTTTATCAAACGAAATTAATATCACTGAATTCCCATATTGACAGTTTATCTCCGATGACATTAATGTTGTTGTTGTTTTCGGTTAGTATGTTTATCTGTGGATGATTATGGGGATTTTTTTCTCTGGTGTCATCATCAACAAAGTCAAGAATTCCGACTTGAAATTGAGGAAAAATTTGAAAAAAACACCCCTCTCTCTCTCTCTCTCTCTCTCTCTCTTTCTCCTTTGTTTTGGTTATCCTCTTTTTCTTAATCCTTATTTCAACCGAAAAACAGAAAAGAAAAAAATCTTATAAATTCCAAGAAAAGGGGAAAACAAAAGCGAAGAAAAGTTTATCCAACGAAAAATCCGAATTCACAAACTTATAAAGTTCTTCTTCGGAAACAACAAACTTATTCTTCCATTTTCTTTCTTTTCTTTTTTCGATCGACTGATGCAACTTGAGAATAAAAATTCTTAGAAAAAGAGAAAAAAAGATATTCTTCTGTTTCTGCTGTTGTTAATTCATTTGAATAATAAATCAGGTGAAAAGTTTTTCCTTTCTGCATTCTGTTCCTTCGATCATGAATAAATTTTTTAACAAAAAAAAAAAAAACAAACGAAAATAACAACAACAGAATCTGGTTCTATTGGGGATGATCGAATGATGATCAGAATCCAGAATCACTCGAATATTG